TTCTCGTCTTCGACCTCGTGGTGTCCTTCTTCCTGTTTCCCACCTGCACCCTCTTCGAACTCACCCTTGCCTCCTTTACCCTTTCCACCATCACCTGCACCCTCTTTGGAAGCTTCATACTTCTCCTCACCATGCGTACCCTCAGCTTGAACATCATCATTCTGTTCATCATATTTCTGTGCATATCTTCCATTATGGTGACCATGATTTCCTTTGTTCCTATACATCTGTCTAATATTCTGATGATAATCATCAGCCCTATGTTCAGTCGAGGTATCGTCTTCGTAACTTCTTCGACTCTCTTTAGATTCCTCAGGTTCCTCGTCTCCCAGGTTCGTAGCCACTTCGCCTACATCAGAACTTCTCCTCTCATCTTGTTCGTCAACCTCGGCCTCTCTTAACCGTTTGTACTTCGTTTTAGGCGCCCAGGTGCTGGCTTCGAAACGCTGGGCCGGTAAAGTCGGGACGTAAGGACGATTTGTAGATCCAGCTGGGCCAACAGCGTACACAGTGACAGTGGGAGCCTTCACTGTGTGGAAAACGGGGATCGATGGGGTCACTGTTGGCACTCTGCTATTTTCGTCGATCACTTGGTAAGATTCCAAGGTTGATAGGGGCACGTTTTTGGAGATCCTTGAATTAGCTGGCGCGTTACTGTTCTCGTAGTCTTCAAAATTCGGTGTTGCAGAGGTGGTCCTAGCATTCTGATAGGCACTCGTACCCTTAAGGATTCCATGGGACCTCAAACTCGGAGTCACTGGACTCTTATCATCCCCATAATCCTGGAAACTCGACGATGGTGTCACAGAGGTCCTGGCATTCTGATAGGCACTCGAACCCTTAAGGATTCCATGGGACCTCAAACTCGGAGTCACTGGACTCTTATCATCCCCATAATCCTGGAAACTCGACGATGGTGTCACAGAGGTCCTAACATTTTTATAAATATTCTTATGATCCCTATGAACCTTCAAACTTGGTGTCACAGAGGTCTTAACATTTTGATAAGTACTCGAACCTCTATCATTTTCATAAACCTCCAAACTCGATGGAGTTACAGTCAGGTCCTCAATAGCCAACTGGGGTCCATCTTTGTACACAATCTGATCCTCCAAAGGTGAATTATAATAACCTCCATAAGAAGAAACTTTATCTTCATCCACAGAAGACAAAGGACTCTCATCCCTAATAGGATGTTCTTCTTTGATATGCTTCTTCTCATACGACCTTCTGCTTGAACCACCCAAAGGACTTCTTATAGGCTCAATCACCCTGCTCAGCTGTTCTTCGTCCTTATTATTCGACTGATTAATAGATCCTCTATCAGGACTGGATGAACCTTCGACGTTCAACTTCTCCAAATTATTTTCTTGGTTCACTTTGGCTGAAGACGATGGTCCCAAACGTCTTGATTTGTTTCTATTATTACTGTTTTCATTGTTTGTTACTTTGTCACGAGGACGTTTACGAATCTTCTTTTTTCTAATTGATTTTGTGGATTGAAGATTGCTTGATGGGGTGACTGCTGGATCTACATGGTGTCTCTGTTTCTTCAGTTCATTCGATGAAGAGTATGGTCTGGGTGGAAGAGTAATCGACGTTGTGGATGGATTTTCAAGCTTTCTTTCTTCTGGTGAATTTAACGATGGTCGATTTTTCGATGACTTTGATTTATGGGACCTGTGAGTGGACACTGGGTATGGGTATTCTGTGTCCTTGGATTTCGATCCTGATTCACTGTCTGATGGTATTGGACCTTCTTGACTAGGATTCGAGTAGTATCTTGGTATTGTTGAAATTTTCTTCGTGTTTGTAATAACTGGGTCATAATAGGTATTGCCAATCACTGTGGGAACTGGCTCCTTATTTTCACTGTCAAATTGTTCTGAAAAAGGGAACTTTAGTTGTCGAAGATGAATTAATTGAAATTCAAGGATATTACTTACCAGGATTTTTATAAGGAACAGAGATCTTCCTTTTATCTTTCTTGTTTATCTTTTGCGGTTCGTATTCCAGGATAGACAAAGCATCCTCCATGTCCTCTATATCTTCGATCAACACCGTTCGTGACTGATCCACCTGTTGATCCCCGCTCGTTCGAACATCGTCCTCTTTTGAACCAGCATTTTGACTGTCTGTCAGTGGCAGCAAGTCCTCGTTGATTTTGCCAGAGTTGTAAGGGACTAGGATTTTGGGAGTTTCTTTCTTGACATTATCGTTTAAAGGGATCGTTTCTGTGGTGTTTGTGGCTTCTCTCTTTGATTTAATCCTTCCATTTAGTGTCGCTGATCTTGTTGTCTATAAAAAATTAACTTTATCGGTCAAATATTAAACACTGAAATTACATTTTTATGGAATTATCCCTTCAACAATGAATTTCTTTGATTTTTAGTTTGAGTTTAATTTTAGATTCTTTTTTATTCTAACACTGAAATTACATTTTTATAAAATTATCCCTTCAACGATGAATTTCTTTGATTTTTACTTTGAATTTAATTTTAGATTCTTTTTTTATTCCAATTTTCTAAATTTAATATTCCAAGTTAATATTCGCTAATTACAGAGAAGAAAAGAGAGCAGTTATAATTATAATTAGGTGCTTTCGGCCGACACTTTCATTTCCACTAAAATAAAAATATATTCGAATAAAAATGAATTGTTTTTAATTAAAATTACACTCTTGTATTTTCGTTTATTCGGTTACAAAGTTGATTCAAGCTTCCGAAAATATTACCGTGCTAAGTAGAAGAAGCAGCACTATGCCAGCCAATGTTCCCTGCACTCGCATGGCTCTTCGAGAACACGACGAAGACTGAACAACGATTCTAGCCGAAGCAGGCAATTATATCGCGTGTTTTCGCGTTTCAGAAAGTCATTCCCGAATGATATGACAATTTCACAGCGATTAGGAGGTAAACTTCGATCAAAGGACTCGATTCGCCGCGATCCCGATTCGCATTGATCGATCTAATGATTCAGCTTCCTACTTTCTCTAAGGGTTACATAAGATTACCACTCCATTAGATTGAATAACTAAACATCCTGAAGTTTCGACTGAATGTTGCGCAAGAACCTCGTACTGTGGTTACTTCTTTCTATTTATTTCTTTTAGCCGAGGGGTTGACTGTCGAATTTTGTAAGAAATCATGATCCAATTAACTGTTTTAGACGCTGAATTTTTCTTGAATCAGATTAGGTATTGTTTCAATGTTGCGTTTAAAAAGGAAAAAAGAAATTGCAGGTTTTTGATATCTACAAAGTCTAACACAGTTTCATCACAGAAAAGTGAAAGAAAATAGCAATTGTGCCGTGACAATTTACAGTTTAAAGCTTGCCAAAAATAACTATCCAAAGAATTTTTAAATATTTTTAATGTACAGTGAATGATTTTTAATCATAGCGAGTGAAATTTGTACTTTGATCAAATGATTAATTTCGAGAGGTGCAAAGTCTATTACAATTTCATGACAGAAAAGTGAAAGAAAATAGCAATTGTGCCGTGTCAATTTAAAGCTTAAAGCTTGCCAAAAATAATTATCCAAAGCATTTTTAAATATTTTTAATATACAGTGAATAATTGTTGATCTTTGCGAGTGAAATTCGTACTTTGTTTAAATGATTTATTTCAACAGGTGCAAAGTCCATTACAATTTCATGACAGAAAAGTGTAAGAAAATAGCACTTGTGCCATGTCAATTTAAAGCTTAAAGCTTGCCAAAAATAACTATCCAAAGAATTTTTAAATATTTTTAATGTACAGTGAATGATTTTTAATCATAGCGAGTGAAATTCGTACTTTGATCAAATGACTAATTTCGTGAGGTGCAAAGTCTATTACAATTTCATGACAGAAAAGTGTAAGAAAATAGCACTTGTGCCGTGTCAATTTAAAGCTTAAAGCTTGCCAAAAATAACTATCCAAAGCATTTTTAAATATTTTTAATATACAGTGAATAATTGTTAATCTTTGCGAGTGAAATTCGTACTTTGTTCACATGACTAATTTCGAGAGGTGCAAAGTCAATCACAATTTCATGACAGAAAAGTATAACAAAATGGCACTTACAACTCATCAATTTAAAGGTAAAAGTTTGTAGATAATACCTATGCAAATGGTCGATACGACGAAGGGAAGATAATATGAAATGTATAACATTTATATCGAGCGATCTCGGATGCTATGTTTAGCAAAGTTAATTAACTATCTGCTCCGCACTGTATCGTTTCTCGCTGTTATGGAACGACGAAGAAGCTCGATACGAAACGTTTGGCTTCCTATCGTAGGAAGACTTGCAATCTCGCGAGTCGATTCAGATCGCGACAATGGAACGCGTTAGCGGACCGTAGCCAATTTCACGCCAGGATTTTCACTTTTCACGCCAACACGGAACGTAAACGATTTCTTGCTTGATCGATTGCCCTGACCGACGATGTTTCGTCAATTTCTTCGTTTACCAATGACGAACTTCCGTCTTGCGTTATTACAACCCTTTACCGTTCAAATGCCTAAAATTTTCTAATCAATCATCTTTTAGATCAATTATCAAATTTCATTCAACTCAGCGAATGGACCGAAATTTTTAAACGAAGGTAGTTAAAATTTAATTAACACTTTATTAATATCTGCGAAGCCTGATAATGAAACAACAACGATGTTCTTAGGAAAAGAATACGGTTCATTAATATTCAACAACGAGACGCGTTGAAACTTCTAAATACCTTAAGGAATGTCGCGAAATACTGTGCTCGATTTCTTCAATCACTTCTTAAGCTCTCCTTCATTCAACCCACCTTTCACCCATCATTAGCAGGGATATTTCAGTAATTATTTCGTTCATCAACATTGTTAGTACAGATATTAAAACGTCTGGCATCAATATAAAAAGAAGTTCCTATTCATACGTCTATTGTGTATATTTTTAATTAAAAAAAAAATCTGAAATATTTATGGTAATTTTCAAGGATTTAATTTCACTGTTTAATTTCTGGGAATGAAATGTTTAAGGCTCGAATTGATTGGGAAAATTTTTCAAATTAAGCAACGAATGCATAGTGGAATATAATAGGAATAATAGCGAGACAAGTTTCAGCGAGGTTCAGCTAGAATTGTGCTTATTAAGTCCATTAACCCGACAGATACAATTCCACACACCTGCAGTGGTATTTACGCGTGATTTCCGCTTCCAGCTTCGATTATGCTCCCCTTTGCGCTTCAACCCTCGAACGGAGGGTTCATAGGAAAGATGACGCACTGGTTTTCTCAGGAATTTCGCCGGGATTAACGGAAATACCTTCCGTTTCGATGAAAGTGCACAAAGGCGCTTGCTTTTCCATCGGGAATAAATAAATCTCGCGTTTACCTCGAATATTAGGAAGAAAATTAAGCGCATAAAATATCGAGCTTATTTTCCTCTTCATTATTATATTTTCAAGTATAATTAACGAAGTACATTGTTATGACTAGTCGAGAAATAGGATATAAAAGTAAAACAGGGTTTTCGACCCTTGAACAACGGAGCCTGGGTCAATCGCGACCCAAACTTACAAAAAATATACGAGGATGTTAACTTTAAGGTAAATGCATAATTTTTAAAGGAAAAAGTTTCATACATCCCGAGAAAATAGCGTGAAATGCAGAAGTAGTTTAAAATTGGAGTCTCTCTCCATGGTCCGCCGTCGGAGAGTTCATCGTTCAATGACCACTGCTAGCCAACCATTTCTTTCCCGATTCGTGTCCACCTTTCTTTCCGTATTTCTTTCCATGCTGATGATGACTATCGTGACCTTCCTCCACTTTACGACCCTTTTGATTGCGATGATGATGACCCTCCTCGTGCTTCTTCTTTTTACCGTGATGATCCTGATAATTCGTTCTTTAATTAGTTTCAATATTTTAAGACAATAAATTCTCGAAGAATTTCAAATATTTGGTTTTTGAAATACTGTTGAAATTGCTGGAAAATTATTTCTTTGAACAAACCTCGCGACTAGCGGAATCCGTATGACCCTTCTTCTCGTGACCACCCTTCTTACCCTCGTGTTCATGGTGATAACCTCCATGCTTCTCGTGTTCCCCATCCTCGTGGTATTCGTCGTAAAAATCGTGTTTCTTCTCGTATTCGTCCTGTTACGTTCGCAACAACGATGGAAATTTTTCGTTAAAATATAAATTGAAACGTACCTTTTTGAAAATACTGTGCTCTCCTTTGGTACTGTAACCCTTTTGGTGTTTCCCTTCGTCCTCGAATTTCGCCGCTTTCTCACCCTCCTCGCCGTGATGACTTTCGTCGTAATGATCCGCTTCCTCGTGCTTCTTCTCTTCTTCACCCTTTTTCTCGTCGTACTTCTGTTTGTGATTCTCTTTATCGTGGTGGCCCTTTTCGCCCTTGTCGAACTCGTGGAATACTTTGTAGCCCTATTCGAAGGAGACAAAATAAATGACACAGTAATTTATTAAAAATATTGGAAAATCCATGTGTATTTTTTACAATTAGAATTATTAAATGAATTATGATTTTGTATTACTTTTCATTCATGATATTAACATTTATTACAATCACTTTTAAAATATCAAGTCAGTAATAAAAATCTAATATTTGTTTCCTCAAATAATCAATGAAATCCATGTGCAATTAGAATTATTAAATGAATTATGACTTTGTATTACTTTTCGTTCATGATACAACCCCTTTCAAAATATCAAGTCAGTAATCAAATTTATCCAATATTTGTTTCCACAAAAACGCTTAAGTAGTGATTTTTTAAAAACTTTAAGCTTCAATTTGATGTATCGTAGGTATCAGTTTGTGACACTTTTATGTCATGATTTTCTGTTCATGAAATACGATCATTCTACTTGAAATTGTTTCTTTAAAGAAGACCGTTCATCCCTTTTGAAGATAATAGAACGGCCAGTTCAGAAGGAGATATAATAACGAGTATCCCACGTTATAAAGAAGGATCTCATCAGGAGCAGGAAGGAGACAGTTCGCAAGAGGACGTCGATGTAGGGAAGCAGATAGACGGGCAATCTCGAAGCGTTTCTCAAACGGGTAACGCAGTTGGTGGACGAATTAATTGCCACCCCAGACCGGTATCTTCGTGGAATAAAAGTGAAAAGCAATATCAGCCGGCGTGCAGTACAAAAGGGGTGGGCTACGGTACACCCTATCGTTACAAAGAATATTTTCTCGACGAAGAAAGGAGACGTCGTTCGGCGACGTTGCGAGAAGGTCGTTCGCGCAAAAACGACCGTATAATAAATAATACCCTGGACACTAATATTACCGGCGATAAAAAAAAGAGAAGAAAGAAAGAAGAGCCGTCAAGGAACGTTGACAATGACGAGAGACACTGGCGTCGAAGCGAATGGTACAAAATGATTTTCGAATATTTGCCTTTCACTGAATCCAAATTGTATAGAGGGTTTAATTTAATATTAATAACAATATTGTTGTACCTTGTCGCCTTTCTCCTCGTCGGCTTCGTGGTGATCCTCTTGGTATTTCGTGCCTCCGCCTTTCTCCTCTCGTTTGCTTTCATCTGTTTCGGAATTAATTAGAAATTCATTAGACTCGTTGGTTGAATTTAAGAAAATGGGGTACTTACCCCTCGATCGAGTTAATTTTTTTACCATAGGTAGCCCTTGATCTGGCGATGGTCATCCTATCCCTTAACTCCCTCCTCCCAGAGGTCAGAAACTGAAATGGTCCAAAAAGTGGTTTTTTGCACCGATCTCAATTTCCAAAAGAAAAAGAGAAAACCTAACCTAACCTAACCTAACCTAACCTAACCTAACCATCAGTAGTCGTGTGAAGACTTTAATCTTTGTACACTTCCTCTATTTCACCTTACCTTTAGGTAAGGTGAATTATTCATAGGATCATTTTAGGCTAGGTTTAGGTTTTTTTTTCATTGGGGGGGATGTATTCACTGAGATCGGTGCAAAAAACCACTTTTTGGATCATTTCAGTTTTTGACCCCTGAGAGGGGCGGAGGGGGGGAATTAAGGGATGGGATGACCACTATTGGAATCGCCAGGTCAAGGGCTACCTATGGTAAAAAACCAGCTCGATCAGGAGTTACCCCATTTTCTTAAATTCAACCGACTCGTTATTGAATTCCTGTGAAAGATTTTTAACGGTATCGGATTAGAAGCGGAAAAATTTGTATTAGAAATACCTTTGTGTTCCGTGGCAGCTGTTTCAAGGTCCTCCTTGTACCGGAAGTCATCAGGAACCTTAATGATTTTTTTACCAGCCGAGCAATCGTCCATAAAAAGTATGATAAATAGTATCAATCCCACAAAACCTACCTCCGGTCTCATTTTAATTATTTTAATCATCTTTGTATGAACTTGGACGCGGTCGAGTTAAACACTGAAGATCGCACGGATTCGAAGCTGAAATTTATGGATCCCGCGATTCCTCTGTCGGATAGTTTTTCCTCGGTGATCCGTTTCCACAAATACAATAAGATCGCTCTTGTTTCCTTTGTTCACCGCATCGAAGAAAGTTCTCGGTTCCGAATGACGAGGGGAAAAAGATGTTTCTTTACGCTCCGCTTTCACCTGATTTCATCTTCGATTGATCATCCGGCGCAGATGATTTTTCTCTAGGAAGATCGAAGAAAGTTCATCGTTCTGAGAATCCGATGAACACGATCGCTTTCTCCGGTAGATACTAAAAAGTTTTATTCGTGAATAATTATAAAGATTTGATATACAGTGGTTCCTTGGTATACCTTAATCCGTTCCTGATGTTTGGATTTATACCAGATCGATCTTTCCCATAAGAAAGTTATTAAATATTAAATTATATTAAATTATAGTAATGTAAAAATGATTAATCCGTTCTCATGTAAAAAATATTATTATACCTACATTCATTTTTCCTCTTTTCTTTAAGAGCATCCCTTTTGTAATAATATTGTAATAATTTAACAAATTTATTTATTGTCACTTTACGACAGTTTATAAATTAATACATTAGAAAAAAAAAATGTTCTCTGAGATGATTATTCAAAAATGACAAAATTTATGTCGTAAATCGAGCAAAATTTGTCTCGTCCAAACGCAATTATAACGCGTATAGTTTTTATGTTAACACCATGAATCGTCAATGTTTCCCTTGCTCTGCTGCTCTTCAGCAATGGAACGTGTTATTTCTGCGAGCAAAGAATCGAGTTTCCAGACTGTTGATATTTCACAGTTACCTTCAATTAACATCCTCCATTTATTCCTTCTTTAATTAACATCCCTCAATTTTCAAATAGAATTTTTATAAATTATTCCTGAAATTTGCTTTCGTCTATCGAATACCAATCAAAAAAATCGTAAACATATTTTCTAAAAGCTGAAAAATATTCTAAAAATATCTATCGAGGTAGCTCTCGAATTTCTGTCGCATCAAAATAAAAAAAAAAGAAGGGTGGTTGATGATCACATCCCCCTGGATGCACCAAGCAAACATCAGCTGCAATCGACTGTGCAGTGGATGAAGCTGCAGTGCAAACAGCCACCTTTTTTCCTCCCTTGTTTCTGTTGCCTCCTTCAACCCCATACATCCCCTGTCTATTTCTCTGGAAAGCCTTAAGAGGGAAGATTTTAATAAGGGTGCAGTTTAATGAATTTCTCAGCTTAATAAATTAATCGACCTTAATACCGTTGCTGTTACCACGAAGACGTTTTACAACCTTCTGTGACGCATCTTACGACATCATCAAGATGGAATTAGGCGAACGATGATTTCTTCTTTAACCATTTCAGTGGAAATTATGTTCCCGAGAAGTTAAAATTAGATTGAAAATAACGAAGAATAGTTACGATGGAATTTAATTGCGACACCATGGAAGATGGAAAATTTAAAGTTTCCTATTAATGTTTTGTTGAAGAAGGTACCATTGTGCCTCGATGAATAAATAAATCTGGAAAGTACCATGGAAGATGGAAAATTTGAAGTTTCTTATAAATATTTTGTAGAAGGTACCGCTGTGCTTCGATGAATAAATAGATCTGGAAAATCCATGAGATAAGGGGATCGTAACTTTTAGGAGCAATTCAGAAGGTAATTCCCATAAAAAGGATCGTACGAAGAGAATATCAAAGATGATCGCGTTACGAAGCAATGAAGACGCTAAATGTTGCAAAATAATTTCAGGAATTCTTGTTTAATAAAAAGAGTATACTTAATGACTAGGTTTTATAAAAAGAAATATGGTTATATACAGTTGGCTGCAAAAGTATTCGTCCACCGTTTAAAATTGAAATCGTGAAAAGAAAATAGAGAAGGGTAATTTATCAACTTTTTTATGGGAGCCTATAATGAAAATTTCATGGAGATCAGTTGATGCACTTAGAAGTTACAATTAATTAAAATTTATGGTCGTTTATAGCCCACTGTATATTCATAGTTCATTTGCAACCTGAGTTCTTATGATTTTGCAAGATTGTTTGAATTATTAGCCTTCTTTTCATAGGTTGAAACCCATAGTATTGACGTGAAACCTGTTAAAAATTGCACCACCAATTTTACTTCATATACCATTGCGAACCATCAAAAGGAAGTCGCAAATATTTTACCTTTTATTCGAACCATCAATAACTTATTGTCGATATTAGTATAAATTTACTACTATCGGGTAAAATATTTTCATATATCAACCAAATAATTTGAACAAAAATAATTAAAGCTTGCAATTACTTGAGTCACTTAATCAGAAAATTGATTTATTTAAAAAAAGGAAGAGACAATTTTCTATTACCTCTTCACTGCTAAACGACAGTAACAGTACTGCTTTCAAAGCACCTTTACATAGATTGACATAAAATATGATGAATTTATTTTATTTTCATATTATTACACTTGTTTTAATGTACAGATCAAAATCTGCGAAACTTAGCGTTAAATCAAAAAAAGAAAAATTTCTTAGCAAGAAGTTGAGAAGAAAACAGTGTAAAACGAGTGATAGAATACAATGTAAAGTATTTGTTCTTTATTTTGTAAAAAATATCGTATGCATTAGAAACGTTAGTTTCAACAGAATAAAATAGAAGTTCGTATAGCTAAAGTATATCGTGTACATATATTTCTTCGCTTTCGGGTACAGCAAGAATATCTAATTAAGAAAATAAAGCAACGCATGAATACCAATATATTCTGGTCGTATAAAATATAGTTTGAACGTCACTGCGTTAGAAGAAACCTTAAATCGTGTGGAATTGACCGAAGACAAACGAGACGCGCCATTTATAAAACCCATCTTTTGAATAAATTCAATTGGCTACGCTTTTTTTCCCCCGAAACGACTCGAATACTGAGGATACGTGAAACGGATTTAATTACTACGCGTTTTAAGCGGCTTGCACAACTTTGCTCTGTGGTCCTTTCTGCGTGGAATTAATTTTATCCCCTAACGATAACGCCATCCCTTGGCTCTTCGCTCTGATACGTATATGACCGACCACCGGCGCGTCCGGTTTATTCAATGGTTTCTCGATAGACATGTTGGCCAGTGCGTCCTCTCCGAATATAGATTTTGCGTACATATTCGCCGCCATGAAACCGCACTGTCCAGAAAGTGCCTGAAATAGAAACACGTTTCCCCTTAGCAATTCAGTATTCTTCACATGGATAGAAAACGAGAAAAAATACCTTTTCCGGAGTAAGACAACGCATATTGGTAGACTTCAAGAGATGAGCAAGATACTCTCTCAAGTCTGACAGTGTCGTGTTTACAGACACCTTGTTCTCCCATTCGAATTCTGCCCACATTTGCCTGAACTCGGCATCGGTACACGTTGCTGGCACTATGTAATCCATTATGTCGATATGTATATCGTTCAAGACGACTACGCTTCTATCGGAACCCGCGCCGGATACATCATAAACTGAAAATCAATCAATAAGTATCCTTAGTTCAATACGTTCTAAAATTTTGTACAGGGTGTAAAACAATCAATGTTCATGGCTTCAGGAGATGAATCTACACCCTAGGATCAGTGGACATTTATAAAAAAAATTATTTATAATTTTTCTTTCTCTCAGACTAATTTTCTTCTCAATGCGCAGAATACGTTAATGTAAAATTTTTTTTTACAAATGTCCACCGATCCTAGGGTGTAGATTCACTTCCTGAAGCCATGACCATTAATTTTTTTACACCCTGTACAGTATAAATGAATGGAGATTCTTAATTACCTATGTTTCCAAATATTATTCCATTTTCTGTAGATGCTACTTTAACATTAGCCTTGATGCTGGCAAAGTCTCGTGGCGCTAATACGATGGGCTGTGGCCTCTCTACAAGCTTCAAATCGCCCATAGTCGCAAGCTCTAGAGTGCAGTTTTGTAGAGTATCCTCGGTTTGATTAACGATGAGCACGTCGAGCACGATGTCGTATTGGTTAACGTGAACAAGGGCCTCCGCGTACACGGGGTCCGAGAAGCCAGTCAGTTGGGTGACTTTGCTCAACGCGCTGGGAGCTGGCGCGTCTCCACCGGCGCCGGGTCTTCCGGCAACGGCAGCGCTCAAACTCTGTTCGAACACGTCGCCAGCCCCACCGGCCAAGTCTGACCCGCGGCTCAATTGTAGGAACTGTATCGCGTCGTCCACCTGGACGATGCTGCCTGGCTTTTCCTTCGCCTTCTGATTCTGCGAATCTTCCTCGGCCTTCGCCGCCAGCATTCTGCCTAGAGCCTCGCGGCAACCCTCGGTGAACACCGTCTGCACGAGTGGCACCGGGCAAGCCAACGACCTCAGACACAGAGATATTCGCTCGGCGTCGTCGTGGGTCATCGCTTTCGTAGGCAGACCCGAACGACCCAGCTGCAACACGCTGGACATGACCAGCATCGCTTCCGCTTGCATACGGTTGCTCTTCTGCTTGTCGTTCTCGAGACTTTTGTAACGAAGGGCCAGCTTGGCCAAAGTCGTGGCTAAAGAAGCACCGATGAAGAAGTCGCCCTCCATCATGTATTGAACCAATGCTGGACGCTTCTCTTCCTTCTTACCTATCGGATAACGAGAGAGGATTTTAGGAAATTACGTAGTTTGTTACAGTGTACATTTTAAAAGACAATTACGAGCAGACGCTGCACTGAAAGCACTCTGAGTAGCGTATGTCCCGTCGGAGGTGACCAGTTGCGTTGGTGCAGCTTGTGCATTCCCATCCTCCGACGATTTCTCGCCAGCCTGACGTTTATTCTCTGCTTCGAGCAGCGGCAGTTCGCCCAAGGCGGCGCGTATTCGGTTCATCACAGCCTCTATGTCTTCTTTTGATGTTGCATATTCACCGAGGATCCACAGTGCTGCTCTGTGTACCTTGACTGATTTTATATGTGGAAACACCTGGATAGAAAATAGAAGAACGGGTTAATTTATTGAAACATAGGAAGATCAATGATACTTGATAATTACTTCAAGAAGTTTCTCGACAATAAGGGGCCTGAGATTTTCAAATCGTTGAATAGCTTCGCGAACGAACACTAAAACATCGGTAGCCGCAGCCTCGTTGTTCTCCGATAGAAAATCAGTCAGCACAGGGATCACTGTTGCCGCGACGTCTGAGAATTTGATGGAACAAGCGTGCAACGTTCGCACGAGAAGCTGTCGATATCTTCCAGCATCTTCGTGTTCTCCGCCAGCTGTTCTGAGCACCTCTTTCTTTAAAAGTTGGACCATTTCTTCAATCGTGCGTGTGGTTACCAAATCCATCGCTAGAGCCAACGTTTTTGTTCTGACTTCCAATGCTGGTGAACCTGAAGTAGAAATACTTTAAATAATTGCCTGAACCGGTGTATCGTTTATCTTTGTTCTTTAGAACCTACCTAGAACTCTAAGCACATCCATAACCAAATCTTGAAGGACTCTTTCATAAACGGGACTCTCTTTCATTGCAATCAGACGATCGAGAACGATCAGTTTCACGTTATTGTCGCTTTCTTTGACAACCAGTTCGATGTAACACGAGGCTGCAGCTTTGATTGCTGTGGGAGCACTCGAAAGTGTCACCAAAGTGCCAGCTGCTTCGTAGCGCACAGCAGCACTCGGTGAATTCAACAAGCTGTAAATACATCTAATGAATCTGGCCCTTTCTGATGGATTTGCGAGACAAACCTGGGAAAAAATAAATTTGTCAGAAACTGATCAAGTAGGTATGATGACAGTACATTCTTCAAGATATACATACCTTGTAAATTAACTCAACGATAACCAACTGCAGTATATCACCGAAGCAGGGCACTTGATCCAAACAAGCAGCTAAATAAGCCAGTGCCCTGCTCTGGTCAGCGTGAAGCAACATCAAGAATGCGTTCCTTCTACAAGACATATCTTGCTCGCCTTCCAAATACTTTGCTATCAACTCGGGTGCATCTGGTATGAGAAATTCAAAGTTTCTGTAAATTGTAAAAATAGCTAGAACTGCATTACGTCTCACATAAGAATGTCTATGCTCCAAGCATGCAATTATTGCAGGCATCAGTGGTTCTAAAAGCTCTGGTTCCTTCAATTTGCACAAAAATCTGTAACACATGAATACGTCCTTGAAATTATTCATACTTCGATTAGTGAATCTCAAGTATCAGTTCACAGTACCTCAAAGTAGAACCTCTGACAAATTCATTCGGATGCTGTAAATCTTTTCTATACGCATCGCATACTAAAATCATTTCTTGAAGCAGTTTGCCATCGGGAGATGTTTTAGGAACAATCTCCCAGAATATCAATAGAAGCTTCTTTATCGTGTGATCCTGTAGTGGAAGAACATATCTGATGATGGTCATTAGCAGACCAGGTAGGCGTTCACCGCTCAAAATCATGTGAATAGTTTTCTTAAGGGCTTCGATTTTCGTTTGAACATCGCCTTTTTCGAGATCCTGTTTCAATTGGAGCTCGTTCAATGGCTCCGTATCGGTCGGAATGTTTATCAAAGTGTAACAAGGTTGTTCAGCAACGGTGCTCATTTTTCCTATTGTGTTTCACACTTTGTCAAGAAGAACCTGCCTTACGATCTGTAAACTAGAAACGATCAATGTGCGATTTAAAATCAAATGATCATAGTGAATAGTCGGAGACGGATTATTTAAAAAACAGTTCGAAAGTAAGGTTATGTCGCGTTCACTAGATGTTAACGTGTCACATTGAACGCGATGCTATGATAATGCCGATGACGTTTGACGCACTTGATCGCGAGAAAATCGTGGGAAAACGAAGAACGACGATATCTTTCAATTGATGAACTGACATTTATACGAGTCCGGAAACAAGAAAAACAGCATACGTGTCAAACCCCCTAAGCTAGGGGACCACTAAAATGCGAACAGGTAGCGCCACGGTCTACGCCTCCACGTAAGTCGGGTATCTTTTGAAATGTTCATATTGTTTGTTTTATAAAATATTGTTCAAACATTGTTGACTCACACAAACAACGATATCTACGTTCCTTATTTTCCTCAGTCTATATAAGTTTAATTTTAAATTAATAATGATCGTGTTTTTATGTAAAATATATTATAAAATATTTGGGGAAAATCTATGTGTAAATTGTGTTTCGGACTATACATTCGAAATGTTGCAATTTTTATTTTTTAAACAATTGTTTATGGAGTGATATTTTCAAATAGTGTTAATGTCTATTGTTTTGTACAATTATAATCTTTAATAGTTCAATAGCAAAGTTATTAACGACTATGCTTTTCAGTAAAAAAGACCCATTGATTTTAATATAAAAATGATTATTTTTTAATATAAATATAATGTAGGATACGTTAACACTGGTATTCTTGTTATTAAATTTTATTTTCAATCGTATCATACACCACTGCGATCTTTCTCAAAAATTCATTTAGTTAACTTCTGTTAGATTACATAATTAATTCCGTTATCTGAATTATTCACGTATCGTTCGTCACGTACTAACTTGCGTCGTAATTTATCTTCCATTAAAGAATTTTCCAAGTAACTTTCAATAACTCCTACTCAACGCAAAAACCCGAATGAAACAATTTATTGTACAACGTTCGTTGTTCGCAAAGCCCATTAATTTATTCCTTAAAAGATAAACGATCCCGATTAACGTGTAACGCTTCAACTGGAGCACCACTGACCCAGAAACGAAACCGAGCTAAATTAGATCGCGAATGTACTCGAACACCCTACAATAACACTTCGTTAATTTCACGAGCAACAATGTTTTCAATTATCGAAGCGATATCAACATGAAAATGAGGAAACATAATTTTAATTAACGATAATTAGAAATGCTATTTCGGTTGGCGCTAGATCAAAGTATCCAAGCATCGTTACACGCAAATAGAATTATTCAACGAAATCGCACGAGCCAGCATAGTTTCGTTATCAGTTATTTGAAATATTCCAAAGCAATTACGTTGCATCGCGACTGTGCACGAGCATCTCATTTTTTTCCTTTCATTGACACGCGAAATACCCTTGCGATAACTTCCTGATCTTTTCCTTTTTCTCGTAACAAGCGATCAGATTCCCAACGAATAAATTTATTCTTTTGAAACAACTAAAAAAGTAAAATTTCTAATTATAAATAATCAATGGTCTCGTACCGAAGAATTAAAACAGCCGGCCCTGGGCCTAGGCAGACTAGGCGGCCGCCTAGGGACCCCCAAGGTCCAGGGTCCCCATAAGTCGATTTTGCGTTTAAGAATGCAAAAAGAGGTATTAATCGAGGTAAATGCAAATCTAAATTAGTTATGCAAACTTTAAAGTTAATTTTATAAATTTTATTTGAAATACTTTTTATTATGTCATATATATGAAGGGGCCCTTTTTCAGACCCCTGAAATCTCAGGACCGACCCTGGGCCTAGGTAGACTAGGCGGCCGCCTAGGGCCCAAGATCCAGGGACCCCATAAGACGATTTTGCATCTGAGAATGCAAGAAGAGTAGTAAATGCAAATCTAAATTAGTTATACAAGCTTTAATTTTATAAATTTTATTTGAGATACTTTTTATTATGTCATATATGTGAAGTGGCCCTTTTTCGGAGCCCTGAAATCTCAGGGCCGGCCCTGGCTCGAATAAAGGCGGCCGACGAACGCGACAAACCGCGAAACTCTTTGAGTCAATAACGGCGGTTATCGCGAAAGAAATTATCCATTAACTCGTGGAATCTATGTACAGAGTCGGTGGCTCGCCTTAGAGGGACAAAGATGGAATGATGAAGTAGTTGAACGCGTGTTTGACCCCCTTTGTGCGCAGACCGATGCGACAGTCGGTGCAATGGGAGTTAATCGAAAAAAGTAGGCAAGACGAAGAGGGGAACAGCCGAAGATTGGCTCCGGCGTCGCGTCGAGACGCTTGCAATTAGCCGGTGCACACGAGGGCACAATGATCTAGCCGCTAATTTCGTCTGACGCCAGCGAGGCGGTACGTCGAGTTGGATTCTTTAAAAACGACAAGGTGCCACGGGATGCTTGACACTCGAATTAAATACTTATCGTACCTCAATGTACACCTCGCGATTCACGTACGCACTGTACCATTCAGCAATCGAATATGAATGAAATATTCCTGATGGAATTATTAGTAACAGTCATTCAATTATTAAACACGAGAAAATATAATAAATACCTTTGCTACTCGTTACCCATTGGAAATTTTCACTGGAAAGAACAGAAGGATGAAAATCCTTTGAAGGTGTCCTCGGAGCAGTAATTTCCTTTCCAAAATTAATAGCAACATTTCCGAAACCATTGGCTGTGATAAATGAGAAATTGATCAAGAGTATAGTAATTATATTAGCCCATCGACGAATGACTTTCCGACTGGTATCCGAAGCTGCAAATAATTCAAGAACCTGTCACACGCCTAATCGACCCACGTCCCGCGACTCTGACCGTCGTTAAAGGAAATCCACCTGCGGATTCTCGGTAATCGGTAACGGGATGTCGTCACGATTAAGACGTAATAACGGTGGCGGTAGCCTTCTCACAGCAATGATACCGAATTGTTATCAAACACGCTCGGAAATGCGGCAGTCAGGTAAACAAACGCGATTGCGAGATGATCGGTGCGACACGTTCGAGCGGATAAGCTGGTTGTTAAAAGTCCGAAGGACTGTCGGAGACGACTCGAGTGGAGCAAGGACCATCGGGAATCGACGATCTCGTGCGATTCGTGTTGTAAACAGGAGAGTGTGTCACAGGCTTTCTTAGTTAAGAAACTGGTGCAAGCGATGCATCGTGTGCAACGAGCGATACGGGCCGCGTTTCTCGCCGCGACTTTGATCGCGTTCGTACGGTTATCTGTAGCGGATTCCAGGCTGTCCTTGCAGTGCAAGAACATCGCTAGAGACGTGATTATGAACAGTTGCAAGGGACCGAGGATCAAACGAGCCAACCCTAGGTTCGATCTGGAAATGATGGATGATGAGATGGGCAAGCTAGAGCCTACAGGTGAGACATTCCGTTGATCCCGATGGAATTTGGTCTTTGGGATTTAATGTACACTTCGGAGCAAAGTAGGCTTCCCAGGTGACTGAGAATGAGTGTAGAAGGAAGAGTTCATTTTTTGGGATTTAATGTACACTTGAGGGCAATGTAGACTTCCCAGGTGGCTCAGAATAAGAGTAGAAGGAGGGATTCATTCTTTGGGTTGCAATGTACACTTCAGAGCAACGTAGACTTCCCAGGTGGCTGAGAATGAGTGTAGAAGGAAGAGTTCATTTCTTGGGATTTAATGTACACTTGAGGGCAAAGTAGATTCCCAGCTGACTGAGATTAAGAGTAGAAGGAGGAATTCATTCTTTGGGTTGCAATGTACACTTCAGAGCAACGTAGACTTCCCAGGTGACTGAAAATGAGTGTGGGGGAGGAATTCATTTTTTGGGATTCAATGTACACTTCAGGGCAAAGTAGATTTCCCAGCTGACTGAGATTAAGTGTAGAAGGAGGAATTCATTTTTTGAGATTCAATGTACACTTCAGAGTAACGTAGACTTCCCAGGTGACTGAAAATGAGTGTGGGGGAGGAATTAATTTTTTGGGATTTAATGTACACTTAGGGGCAACGTAGGCTTTCCAAGTGGCTGAGAATGAGTGTAGAGGGAGAAGTTCATTCTTTGGGATTTAATGTACAGTTGAGGGCAAAGTAGATTCCCAGCTGACTGAGATTAAGAGTAGGAGGAATTCATTCTTTAGGTTGCAGTGTACACTTCAGAGCAACGTAGACTTCCCAGGTGACTGAGAATGAGTGTGGGGGAGGAATTCATTTTTTGGGATTCAATGTACACTTCAGGGCAAAGTAGATTTTCCAGCTGACTGAGATTAAGTGTAGAGGGAGAAATTCTTGGGGGTAACGTAGACTTACCAGAGGGCTGAGAATATGTGTAGAGGGAAGAGTTCAATTTTTGGAATTTGATGTACACTTCAGGGCAACGTAGACTTCCCGGGTGGCTCAGAATAAGTGTAGGGGGAGGAGAGCTTTGGGAGGAATTCAGTTTTTGGGATTTAATGTACACTTGGGGGCAAAGTAGATTTTCCAGCTGTCTGAGATTAAGTGTAGGGAAAAAAGAGTATAGAATTTCCTAGGGAAAGGTTTCACTGCTCACTGTATACATAAAAATACTCAAAGTCCTAATTTTGAAAATATTAATCATCGAATATTAAATAATTATGACTATGGTATACCGTGCCGTTTTCATATTGCAATACATAGCCGAGAAAAAAAGGCATCATATGCAAGGAATTTGCAAGGAGCGACAACTTTTTCTCCGACTTATTTGCAAACACCTCTGGCCGAAGGTTAGTGAATGGAAAAGTGATTTGCCTTTCAGAAGCATCGCAAGACACGGCGCCAAGCGTCCAACAACAGAAACGACAATTTTTCCCGGAGTCGGTTCCCTCTATTTCTGGATTGTTCGGTGGTATGGGACTTCCGGTGACGAACATTGCCACCAACACGTTTCACAAAACGGAAGTCAGCGTTCCAGGAATTGGATACGCGGAGAATCAGGATACCACGATGGTGGAAGAGAGCTTCGTTCCTGAATTTCCTATTTCGTATCGACCTTCGGGATCCTATCCCGTGATAAGGTCCAGTGTGAGTAAAACGACACGTGATTGAATTCAGGTACATTGCTTGAATTTGGAAACAATCGTCGATTTCATTGATCGATTTCGAGAAGAATTTGTGGTTGCGATTAATTAACAGAGGATTCTTGTCGAATTTATTGACGACTCTGAGGAAACAGTGAACGATAGACTTATCGATGATTATTTTTCAGAATCCAGACAAACTTCTTGGTTTCGATTTAAGTTCGGAAGAACTTGAGGAACTTTTCTACGAGGTCGGCGACAGGATGCCGAGGAATTCAAAGGATCTGAAGAAAAAGATTTTTCAAACAGTCGCTACTAAATGTTGCCCGAATCCGAAATTATGTTACGATAATCCGAGTTTAATCCCGTGCATGGGATATTAAAACTAATTGTAAGACTCTTGAGCCACTGCCAAAAAATGTCGAATGGAAATCTTAAGGACACGATTCTGGGAAACGAATCGAAAATCTATATTATCGATTGTACTTAAATTCTCAAATAGACACTCTATTTGAGAATCTTTATACAATAAAAAATTCAGAATTTTTTGGTGTTTGTTTTAGGATCTTATATTTTTTACAATTTTTATTCAACTACCTCAGTACCGAGTGAGTGAAATCTACTTCATAGTATATCTAATATAAAATAGCAGGCAAAAGTTTAATAAAAAGATTACTTTTTTTATATATTATTACACTAATCCAATTTCCTTTTTATTCTGTGGGGAAATTTTTCCAAAGACACTCTCTTTTCCTTATGAAGGAGATAGGGTAGGATGGTACCTTTATTTACTAAAACTCTAATAAACATTCTCAAAGGTCCCATATCGTGCATTGTTGTCATACCTGATCCTGAGGGATATTCATAATTCATCTTCCCTGATTTTCGCGCCATTCGGGCTCAGCAGTTTGGGGAACACTCCAAACCTAACTTTTCTAACACCCTATAATATTTTCTAGGGTCCTTCACGACTTCATGAGACACTCCTTCAAGGCATGCTGGGTAGAGCTGATCTCCATTCCACAGTGATACCTAACCTAACTTTCCACACCCTATAATATTTTCTAGGGTCCTTCACGACCTCACGAGACACCCCTTCAAAGTATGCTGGGTAGAATTAGTCTCCATTCCGAAGTGGTACCTAACCTAATTGTACAATGCACCAAACTTTTCTAATACCCTATAATATTTTCTAGGGTCTTTCACGACTTTATGAGACACCCCTTCAAAGCATGCTGGGTACAATTGGTCTCCATTCCGCAGTAGTACCTAACCTAATTGGGCGTCTAACCTAACTTTTCTAACACCCTATAATATTTTCTAGGGTCCTTCTCGATCTCATAAGACACCCCTTCAAAGCATGCTGGGTAGAGCTGATCTCCATTCCACAGTGATACCTAACCTAACTTTCCTAACACCCTATAATATTTTCTAGGGTCCTTCACGACCTCACGAGACACCCGTTCAAAGTATGCTGGGTAGAATTGTTCTCCATTTCGCAGTGGTACCAACTGAACGCCTCCTTAACGTACTTTCCTTGCTAATGTGGCCCAGGTATCCACCGAGGCATCCATGCTCGGTACTGTACACTTAGTTATCTGATAGGTAATCTGGCCAAATTAAAATCTGACTTAATTCAATTTAATTTAATTCAATTTAACTTTTCTTTCTTCCATTTTTTGACTAAATAAAGTAATAAGAGAGAGGATTTTAGTGAATTTATTGGATAGTGTATGACTTAATGATAACGATAACGAAGGTTAAATGTAACGAATAATAATCACTTCTTTCTTACAAACAGAATTTATTTACAGAAAACTGATACAATGTTTATTTACAAGTGTCTATTTACAAAATTCATTTGCTCGAAGCAAACAAAGTCAAGTATAGTAAATTTATTTACAATGGATATCACAACTCGTTTGAATCTCGATTGGAGATTCAAACAATTCTGCTTCTTTAAACAGTCGTAACTTAAATCTAATTCAATGTTAACACAGACTTCATTTAAGATGGACGTTATTTTCATATCACATATGAAAAGTAAAATTGGTTCGACATTTTCAAATAACATCATCCGTTTAATTTATTATTTAAGTCTTGAGAAGTCTGATCGAAATTCCATGAGGAACCATTTTTTACTTAAACCATATTTATTTACAGGAAAATTAATACGTCACTTTTTATTTATAAACATTCAATAATGATAATACAAAAATCCTCACTAATGTCTTTTTTAATCCTTTGCTTTATAATATCGAGTCACATTATATTTGTAATGTTAATTGAACTTCTAGAAGATATTCTAAGAGATTGCTATTAATCTCTGTTTTATTTGACCGTGAAAAACCGAGGGAATTATAATGGTTCGCCTTGAACTATCAAATGGGAAGAATCTTTAGGTTGATAGTGCAGTTGCATAGTGCAGTTGCATGTCCCGTAGTTGGTTTGCTACTATCATCCAATTTATAAGCGAACCGTGTGCAGCGTTTAATGGTTGTAAGAATGTAATAGGAGGCATAGGTAGTGATGGGTTCGAGTTGCAATAAGTACTCGAGATTTTCTTTTTGAAAATTTTCGATACCTTCAATCAGTTTGAATTTTACGAATTTTAATTTTATTTAATCATCAAAATTACTGAGATTTCTAAAATTTTCAAAATTCCAATGATTTTTAATATTTTTAAAATTTCCAAGGGGTTCACCTATCCGATTATTAATTTAAAACATACAGAAACAGAGAAAAGAAAATTTCTCTTCCCTCCAAAGAGCCCAGCAAACGGATTCAGCGAACAATCGTAAAATTTATTTTCGTGTTTGAAAATACTACTTCCGGCCATAACCTGCACCCTCCAACGATTATATTTTCAGCTAAGCAGTAAAATTCGCTGATACAGTCGTGCAAAATTGCATTTGTGTTCTGTAGTTAGTAACGCGTCCCCTTTATGGGACCCTTGTAAACATATTTCAGTAATATTTTTTATTTATTTATACGACTGTGACTCGATATTATAAAACGAAAGGGTTATTATTAGCTCCAGTAGATTTTAGTAAAAATATTCAGCAAAATATTAAATATATATTCTTATGTTATTTTTATTAAAAGAATTTAGTAAAACATAAAATATTTTAACGACACCCTGTGAAGGATTTCAATTTCTAACATGAGGCGTGTTCCAAAGCAGGAACAATGAAATAAGTTGGTCACGAAATCTACCAATAGACTCTCTTGATTCTTTTATTAAATTCTCGAGGATCTTTGTACAAATTACCAGCTAGAATAGACGAAACGTGGTGCACGAGCATCGCGTTCGACACGTTGCCACCAACGTGACCGCCTAACGATTCAATCTGTCGGCAGATGCACCGAAATGCACTCAATAGTGCATTTTAAACCGCGCTGCTATTCGCCTAGTTCGTCTATTCTTTGAAAAGAGAAACGTTTGAATAGAAAAATTTTTCATTTTTAAATTAACTTCTGATGGCAGTATTTGGGAATTGCCGAGAAAAAAAAAAAAATTCTATAAATAAAAAAGATCCTCGAGAGAAATGAAATCATAACTCGCCACGTGTTGCAATCCGAAGGAAATACACGAATCGTTTGAAAATTGTAAAAATTTTTACGATCTACCGGAGACTTTACTATGCCTTTTATTTAATCGAAGGATATATTAAGGAGATATTTTTGCTGTTTTAGATAACAGTTTTATTGACGAATGATTGATATAATAATTTAAAAATGGAACTTTCGGTGACATTGTTCTTAAATAGAAAATTATTTTTTAAATTTGCGATATGGCACAAGACACTATTGAATGGAGTCTATTTATTATTATTTTTACAATCGAATAACGAGTTATTTAAAATCATTCAATGTTGCCTTGTCCCATATATCAAATTATTTTAACTATACAAATTTGTTTAACACGTTTCATGCTATATGAAAATGTTCTAAATTATCGAATCTTGGATTCGTAAAAAAAATTGTCGCAATTATACTAATCGTTTGAATATTATTCACGAGTCATATGGTATGAAACGCGTTAAATTGTCTAAAATTATAATATTCTTTTACTTTGCTTTTATTTTCACTTGGAAAAACAGTGCTGTCCAAGCTAAGCTTCGAAGTTTAATCTCACTAATACGCCAGAAACGCTGGCAGATATCACATTACATTCAATAAAAATGTAACTAATGAATATTCGTTCGAAATACATCGATTTCTTTGTGTCTAACTTCGTCAGGACCCCATGGGACAGCACTGATACAATATCGTTCTGTCAAACAGAGATCCCCGCTTTTTTTTCGGTGGGACTTAACCCTTTGTACTCGAATCATCTCCTATTTCGTTGCCTTAATTAAAAGTTACATAACGCGATCAAGAATTCAAATTAAAACACCATCGAATGGGGTGAAATGAAAAATTGTCAAACGTTTGAAAATCGAACAATTTGCGATAATAAAAAATAAATAATAATTGCAAATATCGAGTGCAAGGGGTTAAAATATTAACACGTTGAAATTACACTAACTATATAAAAATTGTATTCAGAATTCAGATTCTGAACATTCTCCATTCTACATCAATAGTACGAGATAGTAAGTTAAAAAATTAACTTAAAAAATTATACTTTCGTATGCTTGATTGATCGAAGGCATACAAAATATCCGTCAACGTGTCAGAGAACCACCGATGAATCGTTTCAAAGACAGACGATCAATAGTTTGTTAAATGTTCGATCGAAAAAGGTGAAAATAGAAGAGATCGAGTCTGACCCGTTTTCTTATTTTCCTTCGACACTTTCAACCGTTAATCCTCGAACAATGGGTCGCCGAGCAAATTTATTTATTTTTCTAACAGTGAATTTGGATTTAATTTTCAATTTTTCTCCAAATTTCTATCATCACTTTAGGTAATACATATTTTACCTAGACAGAAAAATTTTTATTTAAAAAATTTCAAGGTTCAATTCGAATTGAATCACCGTGGGTTATAATCGACCCAGCTCCTTTGTTCGAGAATCAAACGCATCGTACAATTCCGACTTCCTTTTCCGATCACGCGGTTGCCGGATGCTTCGGATCGTTCTCCTTAGTGACTAGTTCATTTAGCACTAATTTAAAAAGACGAAAAAAAACAAACAAAACAAAATACGATAATAATAATAATAACAAATCCTTAACTTTAATACTAGTGAGATCATTGTTCGACAAGGGAGCTCGAGAGTCACCGGCAACCGAGAAAAAGGTGGTCATCGAGAATTGAGCTAAATTACGAGAAAAAAAAAAAAGAGAAACAAAAAAGAAAAATTTCAAATAAAAACGAACAAAAATAAAAACAATATACATACGTACATATATATTATACAGCACTGGTATTTAAGTCTTTCTCTAGGAGATCGCGCGACTAATTTAAATCATTGTCGTCACCCAGTCGCGATTAATCGATTCGACTCGCAACCGATTCGAAAAAAAAATCTCGATTTCTTTTTGCATCGAGAATTTTTCCTTCTTCATTTTCCTTGTTGTTTCGTCGAGATGATCCACGATGATCCGAATCACCTTCGATCTTGAATATTGTCCCGTGGATTTCGAGTGGGACGATCGAACGACGAAAATTTTTTGACTCGTCTCTCTTTGACTCCGTAGAATATAATGATCAAAATTGTTTTTTTTTTTTTTTTTCTTTTTCCTTTAATTATCTATCACTGTTTAATGGGACTAGACATCTTACTGATTGCACGCTCGCGTACACTACCGTCCTTTTCGGCCTTTCTTCACGGTTCTCTTCCTCGGTTTTCTATCCTTTCTTCTCTCGTTCTCTCTCTTTTTTGTGTTTAATCGTTGAATTTTGATATTTGATCGCTTCGGCGAGAAAAGAGGAGGGAGAATTTTTGCACCGTGATACCAGGCACATCGTCGTTTCTCTTTCTTCAGGTCTGTCACTTCCTTGGATTTGTTCTCTTTTGTTCTTAGGGGAACGGCGAACTTTTGTTCGATTTCGGCGAGTTCGATGCCAGCATCCTTTCCAATGCCTGGAAAGGAGAAAAAAGGATTTCTGTTAAAAGAGAAGAAGGAAATTGATGAGATTATTATAGTTAAATATAACGCTTTATAAACGATTGAACAGAGTCGGCAAGATATTTTTCTGCGTTTATTAATAATTAATAATAGCAACTTGCTTTCGTTGTAAGAAAATTAATCAGTAAGGAAACACGATAAAAATGTATCGTGACTTGAATTATGTTTATATAGTTATTAATTAGATTGAGACTTGTTCGAAATATGCGTAAGATAAACGTTGCGTTATTTAACCCTTGGACGGCGGACCAGGGAGGAAGTCCCGAGACGGCGGACCATGGAGAGAGCCGCAGTTCTAATTTATTTCTGCACTTCATATATCAATTTTATTTTCTAAATTTTACACTGTCCCTTTAAGAAACTCTTTTGTTTAAAAATTATACATTTAATTTTAGGGTAATACGTTTGGGTCACGATCGACCCAGACTTCCCTGTTCAATGGTTAAAATTATCTCTGACTTTTTCAACGATCAAATATTTGATAAAAAATTATTATAAAATCATAGCACTTGGTTGGTAGGTGGTTATTAAAAGAAAATGAACGAATAAACACCTTGCCAAGACGACGACGCCTCTGTCGTCGATGCCTGCAGCCGAAATGACCGCCGCGATGCCTCTTCTGCGAGCTTTTCCCATCGCAGCAGGCGGCGTCGTCGTCACGGTCCATATTAGTCCCCTTCTTCCGTGCCTCTTTTGACCCATGGATCCTACATTTGATATGGTCGACTACATTGTCGATATCCGATTTTGATCTCTCCTCCGACGACGACGACGTTCCCGGCCTCGTGGACGGATACGGGAAATTCTCGATCCAGATCGAGTTCTTTCTGAAATCAGATCAAAAGAAAAAAAAAAAAACCACATAAATATCGATCGACGTGTTTGAAAGAAAAAAAAAAAAAAAAAAAAGAATTGAAGGTATTTAAGGAGGTGATTCTCTATTTATAACCCTTTCGTCCTGAGTACAAGAGAAATGTAATTAAAATATGTACGGATTATACACAACGTGGTGATTTGTTGAGATAAGGTTTAAGTGTCATTATTAGCATAACTCGACGGATAAATAAGTTACGTGTGATGTAACGAAGAATTTTTTTGTTCTTTAATCAGTAAAGATAATAACTTTATGTAAGAATAAGTGTATCGCGTGTATTATTTGACGATTATGTTTATAGTAATGAAATTTTTCGAGATTTCTTTCAATCTTTTATTTCTATCTTTGGAGTTCTTGTTTTTATATTTCAGATAGATTAAAGTTCTTTTTTTCCATCCGATAACGAGACCTACACTTCTATTTAAGGTCACCCACCGTGTCTGAAGTTTGAACGATAGCGACGTGTCGAAAAGAAAAAAAGAAGAAACGATTATAAAAATAGTTTGCACTAAATATCGCAGAAATTTTCGGGTAAGAATGTTTATAAATTGATATAAACCGAACGTAGTAAAGGGAAGTGTCATTCAATGGACTGGGAAATATATCACAAATGAATACTTTTAAATATTTCATTAATTTAACTTTTCTCTATTAAAATAAAAATAATTAGAAAGATAAGGTTCATTGAGAAAAACGGAGAAGTAGAACGAAGTGCAGATGACCGATCGCGTCTGACACGTGGTATCAGTTTCTACTGAAATTTTATTCGCAGAATTCAATATTTCCTCTGATTTCTCTAATTTCTATTGAATTTTCACACAATTTCCTATTTGAGATCTTTGAAAATTTACTTACTTTCTACATTTCTCTATTATTTTCCTAACGAAAGTACTCTTGGAATATTAACATAGATTTAGATTTGAAATTTAATTTCTCCTCAGAATATTTCTAATTTTCGATTATGAGGAGATATTGAATGTACCTAAAATTTGCAAGAGAAACGATGTAAATAAACCGTTTCGTATTTAAAAATGCAGAACGATGGAGACAGACCTGTCCCCAACCGAACCCAGAATATTCACGTGTATCTCGTATCGCGCCGCGTAAACAAGGGGCCGCGAAATCTGTATCGATGTCCACGTTCGGCCCGGGTCGAAAACACGCGAGATCCGTCGCGAGCGGCGAGAAACAAGAATGAAAAAAACGGAGCCAGAGATTAGCCGGGAATCGTCCTAGTACTTCGGACTAACCTTCCTGCTGAGGCCACTCAGCGCAACCGTGAACTTTAGGAAAAGCGACAGAGATTATCGTCAGGCGGTTGATAAAAAAAAATACGAAACCGATCTCTCCCGATGCTCTTTCGTTCCGCTTTTCTGTCTCTCGTCGGCTCCGCTCCGCTCGTCCGCGAAGACCGGGACCGACCGGGCTAATAACACGCCCCGAGCCACCTACTATCGACCGAGGTAAAAGTCCACTCGCTTCGATGACTCTCTTCTATCGTGAGAGAAGAAAAAAATGAAAGAATAACAACAAGCTGGGACGATTACCCGTTTCGAAGAATTCCGATCGAGTAAATAGGTGCTTTTGCCAATTGGTCCGATGCTTTCAAAAAAAAAAAAGGATCGATGCATTTCCGTATCTTTGAGGGAAATATCTAAACGTCGGACCACTGTGTCCGAGTCCATTGGACTCACCTTGATTAGATGAGGATTGACAAGCCTTAACAAGGTGATATGCAAATCGAATGTATCTTATATTATATGCAATTGCAAGCGTTACGTCGTACGGGTCGCTAAAATATTCGAAGAGTTTAAATATGAACGCTTCTTATGATTGCCTCGGAAGGGTTAAGAATTGGACCTAATTGTTAATGGTCAGTGTCGGTATCGTGCGTTAAAATTAAAAAATTAATCTTATCAACGAAGCGGCACGTGCGTTCCGCACAGCCGGATTCTCGTACCAGTCCGCTCCGTTCGAAGCGGATCCGCGAGGAATCGCGTGAATAAATAATTGAACAACATCGATAGAAGGGTAACGAGCGCGCAGTATCGTGCAATGGCGAATTAATCTGCGCTTGTAATTGGATTCGAAATGGTTGGAAAAAACCCGCGTTAAAGGTGAACATTGTTTCGCAGATCTTTTGCATAATGGATCGTTTAGATAATGAGCGGTTCAATCTAACAGTTAAATCCGCTCGATTCCGCGAAGCTAATAAATCCTTCTTCTTCTTTTTTTTTCTCTTCATCGACGAGAGATACCGAAGAACAGCTCGAAGAATCGAGTATTATTGGAAAGGTTAACGGTGTCAGAGGTAAGCGGCCATAATCGTTAATCGGAGCTACCGAAAAAAACGCAAAATCCACTATCAGGAACTTCGCTTTGATGAAGTTCACCGTTATAGCATATTTAACACTAAAACTATCGACTAATTTTTCAATTAAAAATAATGTAGAAAATTGAATAGATAAGGGATGAAACCTCCGTAAAATGTATAAATTAAAATAAGAAACTTGAAACCAGTCGTTTTAAGTAGTTCGATAATTCCAGTGTTAATATTCTAAATCAATTAAATAATTAAATAAATATTCTAAATTCAAAAGACACGGAGCTATCACTGAAACAATCAAGAAACCCCTGAGAAATAAAATAATTAGAAAATAACAGGTTAGACTCACGAGCACTCCATGATCCTGTCAGACCTACCAGCGACTGCACTATTCTGATCTGATCACTGCTGTTATCGAGTAAACTGAACCACTAACAGGAATGATCAACAATGAACGCGCAGGATGATGCCAGAAGCAGTACGAGCCAGGCCACAGGCGAAAGGGTTGATCGTAGGTAAAGGGTGGTGGTAGAGGGGTTAGCAAAAGAATAAAATCGAGAAACTAACATCCACTCACTCGACGTCCGCGGTACTGGACTTTTTCGGCTTGCAGTACTGTTCCAGCTGCGAGTACGAGCACTGGTGGTAACAGCACTCCTCCGCGAGTCCTGGACCCACGGAGTCCTGGGGATCGTCCTCCCCACTGTAGGAGAACGGCTCGTTGTATCCGCGACCGTCGCACGCCAGGAACAAGGCGTCGCTCAGACTCTTTGAGCAGAGCCTCAACAAGGACCTCTTGTAAGGTATACCGCCGACAGTGTCGAGCAAGGTGAGCAGCACCAGACCCAGCAGGACTATCGTCCTCGCTCTGCTCCTTCTGGACGTCATCGCGCCGTTTCTTGGCATTATTCGACGTTAGAACGAACGAACCGAGTAGAAATACTATAGATCGACACAGTACGAATCTCCTTTACTTTCTTGCACGCCTTCGGCACAGTAGACGTACGCGATCAACCGAACTGAATTATTATTCTCTCGTTTCCCTGAATCGATCACCGTCGGTCCGCGAGCTGATGCATTCTCCGTCACGACTGCCACGTGTCTTCGATTTTCTCACTATTTGACCCGGGATCGGTAACCACCCCGGTCGTTTGGACGTGTCGCGATCTCGGTGATTGACACTGGCGAACACCGCGTATTAACCTCGGACCCTTTCACCGCGATCGTTAATCGGCCCGACCTGTCTGATCGTTGGTCCAGGTGAATAGGAAACTTTCTGCGCCAGTCTGATCGTCGTGATGGCGATCGGAACGACGTGGAAGGCTTATGTCCACGGAGAGCGCGCGGGACTCGTTTAAGAAGAGACCTCCGTTGGTACCGAGTTGCTCGGTGCCACTGGTACCGGCTTGCCTCGCCACGCGGTTCTTGTTCCAGATTTCACGGATTAGGAGGAGAGGCACGATAAGAGGAAGAAGATGAAAGAGGGGAACCGATGAGATCGGAGGCTGACGGAGGAGTAGGTGGTCCGCTGTTCGGCTCCGTCCAACGCGAGGAGGGAGAGATCGCCGTTGGATGTTGGCGGTAAGCGAACATCCGTGCGGTTAGCTCCACAGTAGATCGAGAGAAGGGGTCGATGAAGCGAGATCGCGGCATCTCTATCCCCGTTTCTTCGGTACAGAAGAACCCGAACAGATCCCGCACGAGGGATCCAGGAGATCGTTTCATTCGTCTCATTTTTCCAGCGTTTTTGTGGTCGTCGTCGAATAGTGTGATCTCGATCGAAAATAATCGTATTTCTCGGGTGTTGTTCGGTAACGATCAGTGTAGTACGATCGGTATCCCGTGTGATCAGACGTACCCGTGCGGCATAGATCGTTCGATCGCGTTCTGACTATATTTCCTCTCGATAATTCCGAGTATTTTCGAGCTACAGACCCTCGATCGACCTCCTACCCTCGTTTTCCTTCGCCGACCATTCGTTGCCGATCCCTGATTATCGTTTCTCTATGAATAGAACTCGTTGGGGGCTGCTGATAACGGTGACACTCTTCCGTCGATGGGTTCGTTGGGTCGAAAGGCGATGACTTGACGGTGGAAAAATCTGATTCATTGAATCCTGATCCCCGATGATAGCTAATTTTTTCATGCATCAAGTACGATACTCGTGTCGCTGGTTCATGGAGTCGATAGATCGTGTCGGTTTACAGGTTCGTTGTGTCTGCCAGTGGAAATCGGTATTGCTTTTTCTATTTTTATTTCCTTCGATGCCCTGATACGTTGTTGCGCGAGGCGAACGTTTAATTGCAGAGAAGGATAGATAATAGTCGTTGGAAATAAATCGGCTCCGCTGTGTACGATTTTCTCCAACCGATCCACATTATTATCGGCGAATTGTTGTGTAGAATCGTTGGAGTCCGGAGGGAAAACGAGACTCGATAAAAGTGTCAATTTCAAATGCCTTTCAGGAATTTTCATTCGGAGATCACAAAACTAATCATCGATTGTTTAGACAATTAAGATCAATCAAAAGGAGGAGGATTTCGACCTTGATAAGTAATTGATCCAATTTTTGGATTCCTCTTAGAAGCTTCTCCTTAGAATTAAAAGATTGGATCAATTAGAGGTACAATTTGCGTAGAGAACTTATAAACGCTGTTCCAGAAGTTTCAGTAGAAAATTTTCTTATAATATTGTTTATTGAAAATAAGCATTGTCAGTTTTAAATATTGTGGATTTTATTGATCTAACAGCTTTTTTATTTTAGAAATTTCAGTTTTCTTTTGCATAGCTTTTCAAAATTTTCATAATTACAGAATTTTCTATCAAACGTAGAAATTTTTTTATAAGTAAAACCTTTTGTTACAATTCAGTAGAATAATCTAATAGCAATTTTTAATTTACTGTTATTTGATTTTATTATTATCTGAACTAAAGATATAAGTTCTATCCCAGAATATTTCAATTACCTGAAATTGCTAATTTTAATTAAGAATCCTAGCTATAAGAAAAGTCGTATCTTTTATAATTGCACAATTTTTTATAAAACATAAAAATTTCTTTACAATTAGAACCTTTTATTAGAATTCAGTAGAATATTCTAATAGCAATTTTCAATCTACTATCATTAGATTTTCTAATTTCTAGAAAAATTCTAATTTCTATCCCAGAATATTTCAATTATCTGAAATTGCTAATTTTAATTAAAAATCCTAGCTATAAGAAAAGTCGTATCTTTCATAATTGCACAGTTTTTTATAAAACAAAAATTTCTTTACAAATAGAACCTTTTATTAGAATTCAGTAGAATATTCTAATAACAATTTTCAATCTAATATCATTAGATTTTCTAATTTCTATCTCAGAATATTTCAATTATCTGAAATTGCCAATTTTAATTAAAAATCCTAGCTATAAGAAAAGTCGTATCTTTCATAATTGCACAATTTTTTATAAAACAAAAATTTCTTTACAATTAGAACCTTTTATTAGTATTCAGTAGAATATTCTAATAGCAATTTTCAATCTATCATTAGATTTTCTAATTAATAGAAAAATTCTAATCACAACAATCTAAAATTGCCAATTTTAATTAAAAATCTTAAACCACAAAATTAAACCATTGTCACCATTGTAACCAGTGTCACCCAATTATAACACACGTGTTCCATATCAAAAAAGCAGATCGCGTGTAACAAAAATGGAACAAGATACATCCTAAAAAAAAGTACCAAAAAACACGCGTCAAAATGACGTGATTTCTTCGCAACCCCGGAAGCAATCGAAAAGTGAATAATCATCATTCACAAAACCCTCGTGCATACTTTTTCATACACGTGGCCGGTTACGATGTAGAATCTTCATTATCTTAAACAAGAAAAACAACAAGACTTACGAACGATCTGTTCATTCACATCGTTATCGGTGACGATTTAACCTCTAGTTAAATTCTGCGGCACGTGACGACGATTTGCAAGAAAATTCCCAGGATTTTTGCGCGAGCCAAGGACGAGACACCGCGACACGTGTACTGCTTCAATGGCAATTCAATATTCCGGCAAGAATTGTGTGCACTCGTACGTGTGCGCATCGGCACGCATGGTAGTGGACGTTTGCGTAATTTCTGATTCATTGTCGCGGACATCTTTTTCGTCGGTTATCTCGAACGAACAAGATCGCGGGGTAATTGACTTGCTTCCGTGTTTCCCTGTCCAGTTTCACCGGGGGTTGACAAATTATTCTTTTTTTTTTAGGGGAAATATTTTTACGTACACGTTGGTTATCGCCTATTGCCTATTCGGCTAAGGGGGCCTATACCACCTAAGCTAAAAATTCGGGGTGGTATACTACCCACTAAACCCCCCTATGTGTGGGCCGCCGGTACCCTTTCAACGCTTTGACAAATTACACTTTATACCAAAATTATAGTTTATTATCATCTATCTATAATTTTTGCCTTTACAACCATTTTCTATTAAAAATATTAATAAAGCCTTTGATCAAACTCTAAGCTTGACCATAAGTGCCATAAGTGCCATTTATTTGTACCTTAGTGTCATTTAAATACACGTTTCTGTAATTAATTATTTGGATTGGGACCTGAAAAATGAAAATAACGAAAAGATTATTTATTTATGAGCGTACCGATTATAGCGAAAAAATAGATCCATGGAATGCCAGGAGACGATCGTTCGTATCGTCGACCTCTCTTATAAATAATCAATGGTTATTCAACGTGCATCAGAAGCAAACGAGACGTCGGGTAAGAGTGTCGAGATGCGATTGACCCGCGTCTCTGACGACGCCAACGATTCCGTCTCGCGCGATTAATCGCGTCGCGTCGCGGCGGATCCGCAAGCGTTATCTGAACGGATGCAAGCCGAGGATTTCGAGGGAGAGGCTCGTGTTGCCGCGATTTTTCGACGCTCCTCCCTGCCAGTGACCGCGTAATTGCAAGGCCAAGAAACCCGTCTCGTTCGACTTCACCGACCGACTCTCGGCTGTATTTTTAGCCGCAACAGTGTTTTATCACCGGCACGCGGAATCAAATGTCAAAAGCATCGGTTCTTGGTATTTTGACGGATGCAACCGGATCTTTGTTACTAGATTTCATTTGCTGTAGGTAATGATCACTTGTGCCAAGAGTCTCTCGGTTTTCAATTCCCGGAAAACGCTCGGTTCGAGCTCATTAAATTTCATATTGACCATCGAACCCTAAAATTAAATTCATAATTATTCAAATGCGGAATTAAACTGGAACGGTGGCTCTTTCCATGGTCCGCTATCTTGGGAGTCTCTCCCTGGTCCGTCATCCAAATGTTAACATTCACTCCATACAAACTCACAAATAACGATCCTATTAAAAAGCAAACTAAGAAAACTCCTGTATAAAACAGCGATCCGCTATCTCGGGAGTCTCTCCCTGGTCCGTCATCCAAGTGTTAACATTCACTCCATACAAACTCACAAATAACGATCCTATTAAAAAGCAAACTAAGAAAACTCCTGTATAAAACAGCGATCCGCTATCTCGGGAGTCTCTCCCTGGTCCGTCATCCAAGTGTTAACATACACTCCATACAAACTCACAAATAACAATCCCACTTATAAAGGGAACCTCTGCCTATGCTTTGCACAAAATTCCATATAGGAGGATTAAAGTCCCATTTCCGATGATGTGGATAACATATTGCCTCATTGCAGAATCATTATATAGGTTATTAATAGCGGTTGTTTCTACCAAAAAAACCTCACAAATAACAATCCCATTAAAAAGCAAATTAAGAAAACTTCTGTAGGAAACGCATACGCATATTCCAAGTCCCTGAAACAGCGATCCAAGATATTACATAATCATATTAGACTTCGCACGAAAGAAACGATTGACTGCCCCCTAGGTGGTGTGCAAACGGGGTTAAGTTCGAACGGTCTGGTATCGTAGACTGTCGATCATTACGCGGTATCGTATGTTTTGCAGCGGCCAAATTTTTCTTCGGATAATCCCGAACGACGAGGAGAAACGCGGTCGTGCAGCTGGCCGAATCTAGGTCCGATTTGCCAGGGGATCACGTGTAACGTTGTTGATTGCACTTTGAAATCGGGTCTGCAGACTCGCGGGGGGCGATAACCGCACGCGTCTGCACAGTGTCCGACGAGAGAATTGTGTTACATTCAGCGACGATCCGCTACGAGAGGATCCTCCCGATTATGTCCCCGTGTTCTTCGTTACCAGTGTCCGCATCGTCCTCGTCGTATCCGCGAACGCGCATTTCGAATTTCGGTCCGACCGACGACCGACTCGTACTACTGACCGTCCGACGGTACGTGGATCGACGGCCAGTTCGTTTCACTGATTTCGACGACACGTAACGACACGTGGTTTCCGGCGATTTTCGTACTCGTGCACGTGGTAGGTTCTCGTTGATAGCACGCGGAACGCACGTGACGCGGAACGACCCGTTTCGGTGACTGAGGGAGTCATCGGTGATCGGCACGAAACATTTCACGTAATCGAATAGTTGAGGGGAAAAGAAATTTTTACAAATATTCTACGTA